AGCCGTCCCTGGCCGCCGCTTCCCGCTCGGGGGGGGGCCTCCCCCGCTCCTTGTGCGGACCCCACTGGGTCCGTCACACTCAGCTATTGGTGTTCGCATGAAACATGGTTCAGGGAGACTTCAAAGACGAGTTTCTTTTTTGTAAGACTCTTCATACCACCACAAAAGGTCAGGATGTGATGGAAATTGTTAACAATTTCAGCCGTCCCTGGCCGCCGCTTCCCGCTCGGGGGGGGGCCTCCCCCGCTCCTTGTGCGGACCCCACTGGGTCCGTCACACTCAGCTATTGGTGTTCGCATGAAACATGGTTCAGGGAGACTTCAAAGACGAGTTTCTTTTTTGTAAGACTCTTCATACCACCACAAAAGGTCAGGATGTGATGGAAATTGTTAACAATTTCTTTGAAGTACATGGTCTGGACTGGGTAAATCTTGTGGGTGTCACCACTGATGGTGCACCTGCCATGCTGGGCTCAAGATTGGGCTTCCAAATGCTGGTGAAACAGCATGCTCCAATGGTAACTGGAGTTCACTGCTTCATTCATGGGGAAGCTTTGGCATCAAAAACATTGCCTGATCAACTGAACGCCATTTTCAAAGACAAAAACATTGCGGCTGCGTCTAGATTGGCATGATTTTCCGGAAATGCTTTTAACTGAAAAGTTTTCCGTTTAAAGCATTTTCAGAACAGAGCATCTAGATTTGCACGGACGCTTTTCCGCAAAAGCACTTTTTGCAGAAAAGCATCCATGCCAATCTAGACGCGCTTTTCCACAAAAAAGCCCCGATCGCCATTTTCGCGATCGGGGCTTTTTTTGCAGAAAACAAATCTGAGCTGTCTACACTGAGCAAAAGCTTTGCGCAAAAGGGACTTTTGCCTGAACGGGAGCAGAATAGTATTTCCGCAAGAAGCACTGATTTCTTACAGTAGGAAGTCCGTGCTTTTGTGGAAATTCAAGCAGCCAGTGTAAACAGCTGGCAAGTTTTTCCGGAAAAGCGGTTGATTTTCCGGAAAAACTGGACAGTCTAGACACAGCCTGCCTGATGGACTAAATGCCGTTTTTAAAGGGTTGGTGAAAGTGGTGAATCACATCAAATCATCGGCTCTGAACACTAGGCTGTTCAAAAGATTTTGCCTGGACATGGGTTCCAACTTTGATGTGTTGCTGTTCTACATTTCTGTACGGTGATTGTCAGTAGGGAACGTACTCAACAGAGTTTTTCAATTGAGAGAGGAGTTTATTTATTTATTTCTCCAGGCTCAAGGGGTGCTGATGCAGTCAAATTTAGAACTTGCGTATCTTGTCGATATTTTTGGAATCTTGAACAAACTGAATCTTCAGCTGCAAGGGAAAGGTGCAAATCTGTTCTCTCACCAAAGCGTCATCAAGGCTTTTCTTGACAAATTGGAACTCTGGATCATAAGAGTCGAAGGTAATAATTTGGTTCAATTTCCATATGTGGATGCCATGCTCAGGTAAAAGGAAGCCATTCGGATGCAACTTCTCGATCATTTACGGAAGCTATGAGACAAATTCCAACGATACTTTTCGGAGGTGGACAGGACAAGGGATGGATTATCTTTCATCAAGAATCCATTTACAACAGATGTTAATAGTGTTCCAGAAGATCTGCAGGAGGAATTCTTGGATCTAAAAAATGATTTTGCGGCTTAAGACATGTGCCAGCAGTCTACCATGGAGAAATTTTGGGCCAGCATGACCGGGAGTTACCCAAATCTGTCAGCACACGCAGTCAGATTTCTTTTGTCATTTGCATCAACTTATACCAGTATGTATGAGACTGGATTTTTGTGTTTGTTGCATGTTAAGTCCAAACAGAGGACTCAGCTTGCAATGGAAAGTGATATTCATTGTGCATTATCAAGTACCACTCCAAACACTGAAAAGCTTGTCAGTGAGAAGAGAATCCAAAAATCTGTTAGTAAGAAATAAACTTCAAACCAAAATGTTGTCTGTTCTTTTTTATCATGTCTCAAAAAAGAGGTGGTCCATGAAAATTTTTGGATTGGCCTGGTGGTCCATGAACTGAAACAACCACCAGACCACCATTTAAGACTGGACCACTGTCTTAAATCATCTGAAAAGAAAAAGGGATCCTACACAAAGAGGAAACATGGACAAACTAGTAAGGAAGAGTACAAAGAATAGTACAAGCATGTAGGGACAACACAAGAAAAGTTAAAGGTCAAAATTAGTTACTGTAATACTTTTATGAACATTGTGGGAAGCCTCCCTTGTTTGATTATGAGTGGGCTGTAGCTAAATGGAAGCCTAAGTTAACTCTCAGGCTTAGCCTAAGTTAACTCTGGCATGAACCCAGATGCGCCTGCTGGAGGTAAGTACAGCTGGTGAACCAGCATGTTCTATAACCGAATGACAAAGTGGGTTGAACCACAGGGTTCCAATCTGAGGCCTGGTCTACACTATGAAAATAAGCCAAAGTGAGCCACGTTAGATCAGTTTTATAATCAATGTGTCTACACCACCAAGCTCCCTCTGCCTACTGTAAGCACTTTTTAAATCGACAGCTCTACTACAGCTTGATGAGAGGAGCTGTGCTAAATTCTACCATCTTGGGTCAAATTAGGGTAGTGCAGACACAACTCTGCTCAAGTTGACATTCTTGGCCTCTAGGGGTATGTCTAGACTACATGGCTCTGTCAACAGAGCCATGTAAACTAGCCTTCCCAACATAGTCAATGAAGCTGGGATTTAAATATCCCCAGCCTCGTTAAAATAAAAATGGCTGCTGTGCTATGCCGGATCAGCTGATTGTCAGCACAGCGTAGGAGTCTAGACACTGATCGGTCGACAAAGGAAGCCTTTGTTGACCGATCCTGTAAGCCTCAATTCAAAGGCTTCCTTTGTCGACCGATCAGTGTCTAGACTCCTACGCTGTGCTGACAATCAGCTGATCCGGCATAGCACAGCAGCCATTTTTATTTTAACGGGGCTGGGGATATTTAAATACCGGCTTCATTGACTATGTCGGGTAGGCTAGTTTACATGGCTCTGTCGACAGAACCATGTAGTCTAGACATACCCTAGGAGGTGTCCCACAATGTGACCACTCTGGCCAGCACTTTCTACTCGGATGTACTTTCAGGTACACAGAAAAAGCCCCAGGAACAGACCTGGTGAGGTGCCCAGTAGATATACAAGAAAGGCAGCTAGAGCACATAGCTACCCTGCACTCATTAATAAACCACCTGCTCTCTTCACCAAGTTCCATATCCTCCTCTCTCAGACGTCTAGAATGTAGAGGGCAGAAGGCTTGGGAAGCCTTTCACTCAACTCCAGGGAATGGCTCATAGCGCAAAAGGCTGTCATTCCCACAGATATGATTGCTACACAGACCAAATGTAATGAGCCTTGAAGCCTTGTGCTCTTCCCACCACAGTGTTATCAGACCCTTGTAACACCCTCAATTACTTCTCTATTCAGTGCTGTCTGTATTCACTGTGTAGCCTAAATAAAAATGCATGAATTCAGAACAACAGGCTATTTATTCACTGTGCCAAGTGCAATTGGAGCGGGGCATTTGGTTTACAGGGCAGTACATGTGCAACAGGGAGAAGCTTGGTAATGAGCAATACATGAAACTGTCACACCATTATCTGGTCATTCCTGAAACTGGATTTCAAAGCCTCTCCAATGCACAGTGCTCCAACTATTGCTTTGGTGTCTGATTGCTCATAAGTGGCTGCCAGGTGATCTGCCTCAACAGCTCACTCCACCAGAAACTTTCCCCCTTATTTTAGCAAATATAATGCAACACACAGCTAGCAGCAACAATGGGAATAATGAATTCACTGAGGTTTAACCTAGTCAGTAAGCTGCACCAACAGGCCTTTAAAGGCACATATTACCACCATTCTGCACTTGCCAGCATGCTGGTGAACTGCTCCTTACTACTATCACCGCGGCTTGTATATAGTTTCATGAGCCATGGCAGCAAGGGGTAGACTGGGTTTTCAAGGATAACCATTGGCATTTCAACTTCACCAATGGTAGTTTTCCATTCTGGGAAGAAAGTTCCATCTTGCAGTTTTCTGAAGAGAATGGAGTTTGTAAAGATGTGGGTGTCATGCACTTTCCCAGCCAGCTGACGTTGATGTCAATGAAATGGCCCTTGTAATACACCAGTGCTTGCAATACCATTGAGAAGTACCCCTTGGGTACTCTTTGGCAAGGTTGTCTGGCATCAAGACAGGGATATGCGCTCCATCTTTCAACCACCACAGTTAAGGAATCCCATTATGGAAAGCCATCCACTATGTCCTGCACATTTCCCAGAATCACTATTCTTCCTTGTAGAAGGGTGCTGATTGCCCTGGCTACTTGGATCACACCAGCTCCCACTGTAAATTTTCCCACTCTGAAATGAATCCTGACAGATTAGTAGCTTCCACCCAGCTAATGCCATTTATTCTCAACTGTCAGAGCAGGTCTCATTTACGTATTCTGTGCTTGAAGGTGGGGGAAAGCAATTCACAAAGTTCCATGAAAGTGGCCTTAGATATGCGAGTTTTGCAGTCATTGGTCATCATTCCATACATGCATAACTATGTGGTCCCACCAGTTTGTGCCTGCATCTAAGGACCAGAATCAGTATTCTATTGTGTCAACATGCCTAACTATCACCAACATATGCCAGTTACTCAATCCTCACACACTTCCTTGTACTAGCTGGCTAGGTTCTGGACATACCACAGGATAATGTGTGAGGTGTTTGTAATGCTCGCAATAGCAGTGTGCAGTTGAATGGGGTCCATGCTTGCCATGAACGGATATGTTGCCTGAATGGATAATCTGGGAAAAAAGGCACAGAACGATTGTTTGCCATTGCTTTCAGGAAAGGCGGGAGGGAGGAAGTAACTGCATCATGAGAGGCCGACGACATGTACCCAAAATCACCTGCCACAATATTTTCGTCCAATCAGGCTTTGGGAGCTTAACCCAGAATTCAAATGGGCACCACGAACTCTGGGATGGCTATCCACGGTGCATCGCTCTGAGTCGATGGAAGCCATGGAAGTAGGGATTCACTCTGCGGCCCAAATGTGCATAGGGAGGGAATTCACCTTCAACCTTAACAAAATCAGATGCTAAATGTCAATTTCGCTAAATTTGACCAAATTTCATAGTTTAGACATACCCTGAGATCTGCAGATGTAGACTCATTGGTTTGGAAATGTGATCTCAGAAAGATTGAGATAATGGTCAAACATGCAGAGCATGCCTGAACTATAACACAGTGTTTATAAATACTCGATAAAAACAAATATTTTTTTAAAAGGTTATACCAAATAGTGATGCAGAAATTGACTAACACCCACACTACCCAGAGACACTGTAGTGAGTACTCAGATCAATGGATATTGCCTTCTGTTGCGACTATGATAGTTTGTACTATTAAAGTACAGAGTTATTTATACAAGAGGTATGAAGCTACTGAGATTATGAGATGGAAAGGAAAAGGTGATTTCAAAAGCAGCAGCTCTTAATCATAGCTAGAATTGTACAGTACTGAGCATCTTTCACGGCTGCAAAATCTTTAAGTTCCCGATCCTTGCATTTGGCCTCTTTCTCCAACTTCAAATTAGTAGTTTCTGCTATTTGCAATGATTCTGCAGCTTTCATCCCAGCCTCTTTCAGAGCCTCCAGTTCTGTGGTCAATAACTTCACCTTTCAAAGGAGAAAACAATACTCAAAATTAGAAACTAATATCAAGAGGTAGGAATCAATATCGAAGTAGGAATAAGAGATCCTCCGGAAAAGGGCTTTATTCCGGAGGATCGCGCCAGTGTAGACGCTTTTTTTCCGGCTTTTCCCCAAGCCGGAAAAAAAAGCGGCGGACATGTTTATTTAAATCCACAGGGGATATTTAAATCCCCCCGCGGATTTCCCTATCCTGACTTACCTGATTTGCATGGGTTTTCCGGAAATTGTGGCCAGTGTAGACGTAGCCCAGAGGTTTAAAAAGAATCCCAGTTTACACTTAAACTTATTCATTAGAAAAATGCAGACAGAAGCCCAGCAGCAGAGTTTATTGTGTCGAGTGTACATGTATGATTACCTGCCCTGTGGGCGGGTGGCGTATGTGTGCACCCGTTGCAAGGAGCTCCTGAACCTCAGAGACCGAGTTCGGGCTGTGGAGGCCAGGGTGGCTGAACTGGAGGAGCTAAGGGAGGTAGAAAGCTATGTTGATGAGACTTTCCAGGACACTGTAGTACTGTCCCACCTCCAGTCTGAGAGCCCCAGTGCTCTTAAGGAGGATGAATGTCTCAAGGGAACAGAGCATTCAATTGAAGCAGAGGGAAACCATCCCGTAGTTGGGACCCTCCTCCCAGAGGATGTTGCGGTATCCTCTCGCACTGAGGATACCTCTGAGGGGGAGGGAATGCCAGTTAGGAAGAGGCAGGTGTTAGTAGTGGGTGATTCGATCGTTAGAAACATAGATAGTTGGGTTTGTGATGACTGGGAGAACCGTATGGTCACTTGCCTGCCTGGTGCGAAGGTTGCGGAACTCTTGAGGCACCTAGACAGACTTATGTGTAGTGCTGGGGAGGAGCCGGTGGTCGTAGTACATGTAGGTACCAATGATATAGGGAAGGGTAGGAGAGATGTTCTGGAGGCCAAATTTAGGCTGCTAGGAAAGAGACTGAAATCCAGGACCTCTATGGTGGCATTCTCAGAAATGCTTCCAGTTCCACGCGCAGGGCCAGGTAGGCAGGCGGCGCTTCAGAGTCTCAATGCATGGATGAGACGATGGTGTAGCGAAGAGGGGTTTAGATTTATTAGGAACTGGGGACACTTTTGGGAGAGGGGGAGCCTATACAGGAAGGATGGGCTCCACCTAAACCAGGGTGGAACCAGACTGCTGGCACTAAACATTAAAAAGGTCGTAAAGCAGTTTTTAAAGTAAGAGATGGGGGAAAGCCGATTGGTGCGGAGATGCACGTAAATCGGAGGGAGAATTCTCTTAGAGGAGAATCCATTGATAGAGATTCTCTAAGCTGTAGTCAGAAAGAGAGGAGGGGAGAGGGCAAACCATAGGCCAGAGCAGACAAACAACCGCATACAAAGGAATCCAATGCACCAGGGAAGGGCAGACAAATAAGCAGTGGCAAATTTTTAAAGTGCTTGTACACAAATGCTAGGAGTCTGACTAATAAGATGGGTGAACTAGAGTACCTC